CCTTTTTATTTTCAAATAATTATGGAATCATAGGAATTTGCTATACATGTGAATCCTATGAACCATCCAAACAGCTTCCCTTAAGGGAACTACAACTGTAGTACAGTAGTATTGACATGGTATAATACTATTAACTAGACTTTATTCAGTTTTCACATGCACTCATTTGTGTGTGTGTGTGTATATACAGTTCCTTGCAACTGGATCCTATGTATAGACCAGCACAAGCACCACCACAATGATACAGAACCAGTCCACCAAACCAAAGAACTTCCTAGTTATACTCCTTTAGAATCACACCCATTCCTTACTCCTGTCCCTGTCCTTAGGAATCCACGAGTCTGATCTCAAGCTCTATAATTTTGTCATTTAGAGAATATTATTAAAGTGGGTTTTTAACTAAGCTTATTTAAAGGCAGATGGAGAAAGAGAGGTAAAATCACTGCTCTTAAGTCTCTGAAACATTTTTAAATGAGACACAATGAAACATAATAAAAGAAAAGCAAATTATGAAACTTTATAGTATAATTCATTTGTGAAAACAGTATATATATATGCAGAAATAAAATTATGGACATAAATATTACAAAATGTCAGCAATGCTTTCTTCTTGAAGTAGGGTCATGAGTTCTTTTATCTTGCTTCTTTGGGCTTTTGGCCATTTTCCCAAAATTTCACAAATGAATGTGTATAACTTAGCAACAGAAAAATAAATAAAATAAAGAAGCACGAGGTCAAGTTTTAAACATCTGTCTCCAGTGTGTGGATATAGTTCATCAACAATTTTGCAGATTTCCTGATTATTTCTTCCCTTGGTAGTTCAGAAGGTATAAAATTAGTGAACAGTCTCACCTTGATTAGGAAGTTTACAGAAAATGTGTGATCCTGTACAAATGAGGACACATTAATTTATGGAATTTAGATGTAATTTTTTTTCACTGGTAAAGCATAAAGATGTCACAGAAAAAAAAATTTGCACCAAAAACAAGAAATAAAGAAAGAAAAATACCAAATGTTCATTAAAAAAGGCTGGATAAAATGACAAAAATGGAAGCTTAGTGTCACTGATTTACAAGATTCTTGGGATGCGATTATGACTACAGTTTCTGAGCTGGGTTACCCAGACATAAATCTATTCTGTCCTTCTCCAGCTGTGGTTTTGGGCAGGTCACTTAACCTCCGTGGGCTATTGTAAGGATCATCTGAGATAATATGCAAAAAGCACTTATCTGGTGGGCTTCACATGTAGAATGTACTTAATATATATTTGCCATTATTACTGTCGTAACTTTACTCAAATATGTGTTTATATAGCTGCCAATCAAAGTCCCCTAAAAAAATACTGCCATTTACAGCCTTTAAAGTGAGCATAAAGGGGGAAAAAGCCAAAAGCAAAAACACAAAATAACTCTTTAAAAAACAGTTCATACAGATAAATACACAACGAAGCATAATCATGTGTGATAAGTACGAATTAGGCATTCAAACTGGGAGTGGATGGAAAATGATTTGGGATCTCTGTCATTAACACTGGTGAATCCAAGCTCCTAGCTGCTGGCAAAAAACAATCTTTTTCATTCATTCAACAAATCTGTGCTGAGGCAAACACTATACTAAACATGGGTTCAACAGCAAACAAGACTCTCCTAGAGCTTATTCTATGACCCCCGTTCCCTACCCAGTACCACAGCTGGTCATCATGGTGGTGTTCTATCTCAAGGACAATGGTCAATGCTTTATACATTTGGTACATTTTGTCAACTGTGTGGCATTTCAAATGTTAAGCACTTTAAACCAGACCAAAATATTGAGAAATTTTAAAAATTATATGGACCAGACAACAAAGCTGAAAATGAAAAATAACATGCAATATTAAAATTCAATATAATATTAAAAAACATACCTCTCAGATAACCCCAAAGCCTACTCCCAAATAATAACAATGAGAACATTGTTATGACAACTTATGGGATATGGTTAAAACTTCAGTTTTTTTCTTACGAGGGAAACTCGCATGTATTAGAAAGCATTCTCAATAAACAGTGTAATACTCAAAGGTTGGGGTTAGGTAGGCAATTGGAAAGAAAAGGAGAAAAGAGAATACAGGAATATCTGTGAAAAAGTCTTCCTGGAGATTATACTTAGTGTCCCTCCCCATTCTCATGCTGGTTGAAAGTCACTGTTCCATTGGGAGAAAAATTCTAAATACTTTCATTATTTTTTAAAAAAGAATCCTTAAAAATTTTACTATGTGTTCCTCTTGCTATCGACAAAGCAAATCTAAGGAAAACAGAGAACTGCAATCAAAAAGATAAAAGGAAAAGTTAAAGAATTAGAAGACAGAAAAATAGTACATTTTATAAATCTAAGAGTTGTCTTTGAAAAATAATAAAAGAGCAAATTTCTAGAGTTACCAAGAAAAAGAAAACACAAATACATACAAATAAAATTGATATATACAAAGAAAATATTATAAAAGATTTAATGTATTGTTCTATTTTAAAAAATAGTTTTTAAAAAAAATTTAAAACTACATATGATTTTCTAAGAAAATATTATTAAATTTGCCTCATTTTGTGGCAGACAACCTGAGAGAGAAAATTCTGGAGCCAGATGGTTGATGTCCCAGCTCTGCCACTTGACTGACTATGTGATCCTAGAAAAGAGACTATTCTGTGCTCCGATACCTCAACTGTAACCGGTGCCGGGATGATGAACCAACCTCACTCAGAGAGCTGTTTGTTGAGAGGGGAAAATGTCTATAATATATGACATATGAAGAGCTCTTACAAATTAATAAGAACAAAATGAACACAGAAAAAAGAAAACAAGGCAAAGGGCACAAACAATACAAATCCCCTCAAAAAACAAAAATGGCCAATAGCAATGTTTTCTGTCTACAACCTATGATCTGGGTTGGGAAATGGAAAAAAAATTACTGTCATTTACTGTTAATAGAAATAAAAATTGTATAGCATTTTTGGTGGCTAATATGGAAATAGATACCAAAAGCCTTAAATACACAAAAGCCTTAAATATCTTTTGATTTAGCAAATAATCTCCTAAAAGTTATCTTAAAGAAACTAAAGGATATAAACAAAAAGTTAGCTTCAAGAATATTTATATGGTGAAAAACTAGTAACAAACTAAATATTCATCAAAGGACATGTTAAGTACTATTTCTCTATTAAGAATCATATTGTAGGGCCGGCCGAGTGACACGTTGGTTAAGAGTTGGCTTGGGACGCTAGCTCTGAGCAGCAGGGCCCTGGTTCGGATCCCACATGTGGGCCAGTGATGCTGCGTCCTCTACAGCTAAGATGATGAACATCAGCTCGACCTGGAGCTGGGCTGCCGTGAGTTGCCGGCAGCCAGCATGAGCTGCCAAGAACTGCCGTGAGCGGCCGTCCAGTGGCCAGCGACCTATCTGCCTCACCCAGGAAGAGCACAATGATTATATCAACATGGGCCAGTGAAGTGACGTCCTCCACTACTAGACTGAAGAACAAAAAAGGACACCAACTTGTCTGTTCCCCTTCCCCTTCCCCAATTCCCCAATAAAAAAAATCTTAAAAAAAAAAATCATATTGTAGGTTATTGTAGGTTAGTATTTATGAGTATTGACATGGAAAACCACTAATTACCATAGAAAGTTTATATAATGAATAACAAACAGGATGAGAGAAAGTCCCTCCATAATACTCCAAAGAAAAGACTACAAAGGCCATATTATCACAAGCAATTAAAATATATCCAAAGTAACTGTGGGGTAAAGAAGAAATCAAAACTGCAATTTAAAAACACCCATAAAACAATGAGAATAAGAGAGCATTACATATCAAATATTATGAAATGACAGCTAAAGTTCTAATCAGAAGTAAATTTATGACATTAGAAAAACTACTAACAACACCTAAAGAAAGCAAGAAGACTATATAAAAGCAAAAATTAGTTAATATAATTAAAAAGATCAATTTTAGAAGTACATATATCAAATTCCATATCCTACAAGGGATATATTCAAAATCTCACATCCATTGCTGAGGAATTTATAACAGTAAAACACTGACATCAAATTAATGTTTAAAAAAGGGGTACTTGGTTAAATACATTAGGATATATCCATATAAAGAAATTTAATGCAAGTATTTTAAAAGTTATATTTTAGGAACTTCTTTAATGATGTTGGGAGAGATATGCCAGATTTATTAAGTGGAAAAAATGTGTTTTAAAACATGACTATAAAGACGTACATTAGAGTCTTAAGCTGAGGTCTAACACTGTGCACAAAATCATGACCACGTATGTTTTTGTGAGTTAGAAGATCTGTAAGTTTCATTAGACTCGCAAAGACATCTGTGACTCTAAAAAGTTTAAATGCCACTAACAGACATCAAAATGGTATCCCAGTGCTAATTTATCAGTGGTGAGTTCATGGGGATTTTAACTTTCTTCTCTATGCTTTTCTATAAATTATGAACTTTTACGTAATAAATATGTATACTTTTTATTAATAAAGAGGAAAATACATTTTTTATTATTGCTTCTATAACTAAAAAAAAAAAGTCTCATTTAAGAAGATACCTCCTCTCTCTGTAAGCACGCACACAGTCACAAAAACACAGCTTAGCAAAGTCTCAGATCTAGGATAGAACATCTAATTCTTAGAATTTTTCAAGTCATTCCAAAGAACCTAAGCAATTAATTATAAGAGTAACAGAGTGATGTTCCTGAAATTTAGAAATATTTGCTTAAAACATGTCCGTGGAATAGAGAGGAAAAATCCTGTGTTTTGCTGCCAGATAATCCTGCCATTTCTATTAAAAGTGATTCTAGATCTTTCTTTATCCCTATCATTTTTACTGGGAATCTTGTGAATAAAGGAAAACATAAGTTACCACCAGGATCTGGGTCTCACTGGCATGTCGAGTCATCTGTGGAGTGGAAAACAGTGTGAAAGTAACAAGAGTGCCTGTGTTTCAGGTGTCTGCCATACTAACCTGTTCCAGCAGAAAATGAGGAAGTGGGAAAAGCGTCACCTTGAGCTGGTTGAAAGCCTGGGATCAAACTCTCAGCTGAGCCTCCAAGCTTCTCAGGATGTTTGCCTGAAGGGACAAATACCACTGAGTTCATTCCAGCAGCATCCCAGGATGCATCCCCAGGGCCCTCTCTGAACTGCCTTCTAGATTTGACTCCTTTATTTTTACTGCGTGATGGCCACACCTCAGCCATTCAGAGGTCCTTGTCTAGTCACTGCAATAACTGAGAGAACAGCTGAGAATCAAAAGAGATAGCCCATCAGTGTTGCAAGGGGACGAGTTCTGGAGATTGGCTGCACAACAATGTGAATGCACTTGACACTGTTGAGCTGTACACTTAAAATGGTTAAGATGGTGATGTTTATATAAGTTATGTATATTTTACCGCAATTAGAAATAAATAAATAAATAAATAAATAAATAAATAAATAAATAAATAAATAAATAAATATCAGCAAAAGAGACAGCTGGAGTCAAAGCCCCAAAGCTGCAGCACATTAGTCAGGGCAGAATGCCTCCAGCCCTCACCCAATCTATTTATTTTTATGTAATTCTAATGAGTTTGATGATTTGTTTTCCATGTTGGAAGCAGTTCAGGCGAGAAAGTGAGAAGAGGGCGTGGAAGATGGCAGTAGTGAGAGGCTGTGAGGAATAGGCACATGGGGAACACCAGCTGCTCAACAACAAGAAGAGAGGCAGGAAATGATTCAAAACAGACACAGGAATTAAAAGAACTTGGGAGGGTCACTTAATGGAGTGCAAAAATACTCCAGTTTTCACTAGTCCTAAAGGCATTTCTTTTAGAGTCTAGAACAATAACTGGCACACATAACAGAGAAATAATCTGACAAGTCAAGCTAAACCCTATGCCCTACCTTCCGCTTAAAAAGGCAAGAAAATAATACAAATTAAAAAAAAATATCTATCAAGAAATAGTAAAAGCTAAAACATGTGGTCAAAGTTCATATAATTCACTTGGTTCTGTGCTCTTGTCTACACTGAGATACTCTTTTTGAACTGCATCTTATGGTAAAAACTTCCCTGGGTGCATGCTGGGTGTGTGTGTGTGTCCCCTGCTGGGTGTGTGTGTGTGTGTGTGTGTGTGTGTGTGTGTGTGTCCCCTGCCTTCCAAATCAGACTGTGGGTTTGAGGGCAAAAATGACACCTTCTATTGATTTGATCTCGTCTTCATAGTCAGTCAATGGTAATATAGAATTCTGATCATAGTCAGTGTCCATGTGAGGGCACACTATCATGGGTGAGCAGTTACAACTTTCTGAGACAGTCAACCCACATAGGACGAGAGAACCATCACCCCCCTCAGGAAGTGACCATGCTTGATACTATCATCCCCATCTACGCTACCCAATCTTTCCTAAAAGCTTCCCATTCTCCTTGCCACCACCCACAACAGATTTGACTTCCTGAGGATAAAAAGACTTCATTGCTCTGGTAAAAATATGAATCGATTTGCATTCATACTTCAGAGTCAAGCCTTTGAGGGACAGAAAGACTCAAGCCCACATT